CCACTCCCACTGTGCTGGGGACCAGCAGCCCACTCCCACTGTGCTGGGGACCAGCAGCCCACTCCCACTGTGCTGGGGACAGCAGCCCGGCTGTCACCTGTGCCCTCTTCTTCCCAACCCTGAGCCATGAGATGGAAAACGAGGCTTTGGCTGCAGCAAGACTATGGAAAAATCTGGTGTTTTTGTGCCCATGAGTCAGCCCCCAAAGAAGGGATGGAGTGGGTCCATGACCCTTACCCCACCCCCAGGTCCCTGAGTCACCCCAGGCAGCCATCAGGGCATGGAGTCCTCCGATACCGTAATTCTTCCCCCAAACCCTCGTTCTATAGGCTTGTCCAAGCATCACCTGTCAGCCGCCACCCTCACGCGGGCAGATCGTCTCTCTGCCCGGCCCTTCGGTCTCCCATCTGCCCAGCCTGGCCCCAGGGGATTAATTCTGGACTGTGGACAGAGATGGGGGCAGCCCCAGGCTGACGGCAGCTCTCCCCATTTTAGAGCATCTCTCAGATGCCCTCCAGGAGCCTCAGTTCTGGCCACAGTCCAGCTCATGGGAAATGAAATCCCGTCTGTGTCCACCGCTTTCCCTCTCCCGTTGTGACCCTCTGGGTGACCTCCCCCACCAAGCAGGACCTGACTCTAACTGCAGCAAATGGGCACGGGGCAGGAAGCGGCTAGGCAGTACCTTCAGAGACAAGGCGGCTCTCTCTCCCCCACAGCGGGGCCGTGCAGGCCTGGCTGTGTCTTCAGGTGTCCACCCCTGAGGCCACATTTCTCTAAGTCTCCAGGGCTGGAGACTCTGAACTGAATCGTCCCCACCCTCCCCTCAGCTCCCCTGGAGAAGACACCGCCACCCCGCCTCGGTGAACTGACTGTTACAGGGGAGACCCCTGACTCTCTGCACCTCTTGTGGACGGTGGCCCAGGGCACCTTCGACTCCTTCCTGGTCCAGTACAGAGACAGGGATGGGCAGCCCCAGACGGTGCTCGTGGCTGCAGACCAGAGTGAGGTCACCATCCAGGGTCTGCAGCCAAGCAGAAAGTACAAGTTTCAGCTCTATGGGCTCTCTGGAGGAAAACGCCTGGGACCCGTCTCTGCCCTGGGAGTGACAGGTGAGGCTGGCCCTGCCTGACCACAGGCCCGAGGAATCTGAAGACAAAGGGACTGGCCAGAGTGGATGGGTGGGTGGGAAGGGCAGGGGCCTGTCCAGAGCCAAAGAAGGGGGGTTGTGCCCACCCCAGGTGCTACCTGTCATTTGAAAGAGCAGGAGTCAGGCCAGGCAGGAAGGAAAGGCCTTGGGGTTCCCTGATCTCCCGACTCCACTCACCCCCATCATGTGCTGCTCCCCACTACCCCGGTGACCCCGTTGGAATGGCTCTATCCCCTTGCCTCCCTGTTCTAGGGAGCCGGGGATGTTTCTCAAATGGAAAATCACTGGGAAGTCCAATGGGCAGAGGCCACTGACACCCACTTCAGATTGGCCAGGCCAAGGGCACACGGCCAGGCACGTACACCAGCCAGTGCCACCCTCGGCTGCTCTCAAAAGCACTGAGCGCAGGCGCTAAGGGTGGGGCAGGGACAGAGCCTAAGGGGCCACTGCTGAGGGGGGTCGACGTGTCAGGGGCTGGGAGAGGGGAAGTGAGTCCCTGATCCAGACACAGCAGCTTCCCAGGCTGGGCTCAGAGGGGCCCTCCTGGGCGTCAGGATGCACTGCCAAGGCAGGAGTAAAACAAATTCACAGACTGGAAGGTTCTAGAAGATCCCCTGCTCCTCCCTTTCCTCTCTGGGCTGCTTTGCCAGGACTGTGAAGTGTCTTCATCCCAGGCCAGGCTCATGACCTTTCCTTCGAAGGGCAAGATGGAAAGACAAGGCCCCACAGCACCCCGTGAAGATTCTGCCCTGGTTTCTCCCATACAGCCCCGGAAGAGGACACGTCAGCCCCAAGCCCCACTGAGGCCCCTGAAGCACCCCGCCTGGGGACGCTGACAGTGTCCGACGTGACCCCAGACTCGCTGCGCCTCTCCTGGGGTGTGGCCCAGGGCCCCTTCGACTCCTTTGTGGTGCAGTATCAGGACACAGAGGGGCAGCCCCAGGCCCTGCTTGTTGACGGAGACCAGGACAAGGTCCTCATCTCAGGCCTGGAACCCAGCACTTCCTACAAGTTCTTCCTCTACGGCCTCCGTGAAGGGACGCGGCACGGGCCTATCTCCGCAGAGGGCGTCACAGGTGGGCCAGGCCCGGGCCGTCCTAGTCTGGGGGCTAGGGAGGGGGGACGGTGGCACCCAGAAGCGGCTGCCACCGAGGAGGCACCCAGGAAGAGCTGAGGTCATTTGGCCCACACTGCCCTGCCTTCCCTGTCAGAGCACCGAACATCCCTCCTGTGGCTCTGTTCCTCACTAGCCCAACTTTTCTGACCAACAGAACCAGGGTAGGACAAGAAAAGTGACATGCTTCAAGACTTGGGGCCGGTATTGATCTGTCTCCAAACGCTTTTCTCCTGCCCGCTTCCCACAGGTCCAGTCCCTGCTGGTCAGACCCCAGGGGACCCGGGACCCCGCCTGTCCCAGCTGTCAGTGACGGATGTGACCACTAGTTCTCTGCGGCTAAACTGGGAGGCCCCGCTTGGGGCCTTTGACTCCTTCCTACTACGCTTTGGGGTCCCCTCACCAAGCACCCTGGAGCCGCGTCCTCGTCCCCTGCTCCAGCGGGAGCTGATGGTGCCAGGAACCCGGCGCACGGCCGTACTCCGGGACCTGCGTCCTGGGACCCTGTACAGCCTTACTCTGTATGGGCTGCGTGGGCCGCACAAGGCAGACAGCATCCAGGGCACTGCCCGCACCCTCAGCCCAGGTGAGGACCCACACCGGGCGCCCCCCCCCCCGAAGAGAGAGCATTGTGCTTTGCAGAGTGGGACCCAGCACGGGGGAGGGGGCAGGGCTCCTGGTGAGTGGGCAGAGGACTGGAAAGCACCAAGAGAGTGACCTCTGTCCTGGGAACCTACAGAGAGGGGTGCGGGGCCTCTGGAGCCAGAGCACCCGGGGAGAAAAGGCAGGGACCTGCTACGCACGCCCTCACCACTGTGCCACCCTCCCCCCCTTACTGCCCTCAGTTCTGGAGAGCCCCCGTGACCTGCAATTCAGTGACGTTGGGGAAACATCGGCGAGAGCCACCTGGGTGCCACCATCATCCAGGGTGGACAGCTTCAAAATTTCCTACCAGCTAGCAGATGGAGGTGACGACCCCTTCCCGCCATGTCCTCTTCAGCTCTCCCCTCTTGCCCACCCCACCCCTGCACGCTGCCCATTCTCTAGCTGCTTTCGGGCCTCCGGGGTGACCCCTAGCCCCACCCATGTTTGTAGGCGAGCCACAGAGTGTGGTAGTGGACGGCCGGACCCAGACCCAGATCCTCCAGGGGCTGAGCCCAGACACTCGCTACGAGGTGACCGTGGTCTCTGTCCGGGGCTTTGAGGAGAGTGAGCCTCTCACAGGCTTCCTCACTACAGGTAGGAAGGACTGCCCCCAGCACCATGAGAGGTAGAGAGAGAGAAAACAAGGGCTTGGTGAGGGTGAAGAGGGCCAAAGGAGACCCTGGGGCTCTGACCGCAACGAGCAGGGAGGCAGTGGAGCTGGGAGAGCCGAGGTAGGAAGAGCTGCAGGGATGCCTCTGAGCTCCCCGTTTCCGCCAGTTTCTGACGGTCCCACCCAGCTGCGTGCGTTGAACTTGACTGATGGGTCCGCCCTGCTGCACTGGAAACCTCCCCAGAAGCCCGTGGACGAGTACAACGTGCAGGTCGCATCCCCTGGGGGTGAGCATGGCTGAGCCCCCTCTGAAGAGGACTCGTTCAAGGTGGGGGCAGCAGGGTACGGCATGGCTGGGCAGAAGGTGATGCCCACCCCCACTCCCAGCCCCAGCCCTTCAGGCCTCGGCACCTGGCAGCGCTGTGGACTACCCACTGACAGACCTGGCGCTTGACACCAACTACACAGCCACCGTGCGTGGTCTCCGAGGTCCTAACTTCACCTCCCCAGCCAGCATCACCTTCACCACAGGTATAGACGTGTGTGTGGGGGGGGGATAGGTCAAGGGAGCAGATATGGGCTCACCTCTGTCTTCCTATGTCCCCTTCCAGGGCTCAAGGCCCCCCAGGACTTGCAGGCCAAGGAAGTGACCCCTCGCACGGCCCTGCTCACTTGGACTAAGCCCGAAGTCCCACCCACAGGCTACCTGCTCAGCTTTGACACTCCCGGAGGACAGATTCAGGTACCCCACCCCCGCCTCACTGGCCGTCCGCTTTCCATAGCTAGATTTGGAGGGGCCACCTCGGGCCCCTCCCACTGAGTGTCCCTTGTCTGTCTGCAGGAGATCCTGCTCCCAGCAGGAACCACCTCACATCGGCTTCTCCGCCTCTTCCCTTCCACCTTCTACACCGCCCAGCTCCGGGCCGTTTGGGGCGAGAGCCTCACGCCGCCTGTGTCCACCTCCTTTACCACTGGTACTGACTGATACTGGAGCTTGACCTTAGGTGGGCAGCTGGAGTCTGAGACTCGGGAAAGAGGACAGACAGACTCTCCACCTCCTCCCTGCAGGTGGACTGCGCATCCCCTTCCCCCGGGACTGTGGGGAGGAGATGCAGAATGGGGTCAGCTCCTCAAAGACCACCACCATCTTCCTCAACGGCAACCGTGAGCGGCCTCTGGATGTGTTCTGTGACATGGAGACCGATGGAGGCGGCTGGCTGGTGGGTTGCTTTCGGAGCCTCGGTAGTTAGGTCTCACAGGGGCTGATGCCCAGGAGCCAGAGGCTAATGCTGCTCCTGCCTGCTCTCCAGGTGTTCCAGCGCCGCATGGACGGACAGACGGACTTCTGGAGAGACTGGGAGGAGTATGCCCACGGTTTTGGGAACATCTCCAGGGAATTCTGGCTGGGTCCGTGCCTCATAGGGCTGGGGAACCAGGGAAGGGTTGGCAGTCCTGTGGACCCCAGGACCCTGATGAAGCATGCTCCACCCCAGGCAACGAGGTCCTACACAGCCTGACGCAGGCTGGAGACTACTCGATGCGTGTGGACCTGCGGGCTGGAAACGAAGCCGTGTTCGCCCAATATGACTTCTTCCGTGTGGACTCAGCAATGGAGAACTACCGCCTACACCTGGAGGGCTACCACGGCACTGCAGGTCAGGGCAGGCCGGGACGGACGGACCGACGGGGTGGGGTGGGCCCGAGGGCGGTCCTCACCACACCTTCCCATGCCCTGCCAGGTGACTCTATGAGCTACCACAGCGGCAGTGTCTTTTCTGCCCGCGATCGAGACCCCAACAACCTGCTCATCCCCTGTGCCGTGTCCTACCGCGGGGCCTGGTGGTACAGGAACTGTCACTACGCCAACCTCAACGGTCTCTACGGGAGCACGGTGGACCACCAGGTGGGGGCCGTGGAGGCGGCAGGCCGGGCTCTGGGTCACTGGGCTGCAGGACTCCCACAGGAATGACTGAACTTCGCGCGCCTCCGAGGCTCGTCTGTGAAACGGGGCCGCAGTGCCAACCTCACTGGGGAAGCTTGAAAAGACCGTTTATTAGAGGGTGGAAGGCACCAGCTCAGGATTAAGCCGCGGTCCTTTGCGGCTGAGGGTTAGGCAGGGAGCGTGAGGGAGATGGGTGGGTCGGGGGGGGGGGGTCACCTGCAGGAGCAGGGTGGGGGTGGACGAGTGCCATCGATGAGGTGGTGGCGTTGACTCTCCTCCCTTGACAACCCTTCCCTCAGGGAGTGAGCTGGTACCACTGGAAAGGCTTTGAGTTCTCGGTGCCCTTCACGGAAATGAAGCTGAGACCCAGAAACTTCCAGGCCCCTGCCAGGGCGAGCTGAGCCCTCTGCCCGCTTCGCTCACACCCCGGTATGACTGCCGAGCACTGAGAGGTCGTGCCCGGAGAAGAGCCCCCGTGTGCCTCCACTGCCCGGCTCACCAAGGAAGCCTTCTCTACCACGACCTCACAGCACCATGTTTACAGGGGGGAGGGGAGGGGTTGATAAAACGGAGCAATAAAGGAGAAACTGAGGCACGAGGCTGGTACTGGTCCTATCCTGTCAAGGGGTCCGGCCCTGGTCTTGGGGCACCGGGTTCCTGGGCTGCAGCAACACCTGGAAGGGGTTGATCAAGAGATTGAAACCAGAATAATTCTGGGGCTTTAGGCAGGGCAGGGTGCCATCTGGTGGTGGCAGCAGCGTGAAGGCCTGGAGAAGGCGGGCCAGCACCACAAAGAGCTCCAACCGTGCCAGAGGCTCTCCCAGGCACACGCGTGCCCCACAGCCGAAGGACAGCGTTCTGGGGTTCTTGCCAGGTTCCAGGAAGCGATCTGTGGGCAGTGGACAGATGGCTAGGGAAGCGCGTCCCAGCGAGGCTGGGGCTCTCCCACCCACCCCCACCCCCCGTGCCTGACCCCTCATACCCGGCTGGAACTGGCTGGGCAGTTCCCAGACCATCTCATCCAGGTTGGCGCCTTGGATGTTGGGGATGACGATTGTGTCCTTGGGGATGTCGTAGCCAGAGATGCTGAGGGAACGTGGAGTCAGAAGCTGCCCAGGACCCTGAGGCAGGGTGGGGGGAGGAGTCCTCACTCAGCCCTTAACCCAGGGAGTCACCTGCTAGCCCGAGTGGCGCGATGGGGCAAGGCCAGGGGCACCACGGGCCGCAGGCGCAGCACCTCGGTGATGGTGGCCATAAGTAAAGGCAACTGCGTTCGGTTCTTGTACAGGATCTGGGAGCTGGGGGCACTGGGGCCCAACTTGAGGTCTAATTCTTCCTGCAGTCGCTGCTGGATCTGAGAAGAAAGGGTGGGCAAGGCTGCTGGAGACGAAGCTTTGCCCTGGGCGGCTCACAGCAGACCCTGCATCCAGCCACTGAGCTGAGCCTAGAGCCCTTCTGTGAGCATGGTCCAGGCCAGGCAGTCAAGAGCAGAGCAAATGGGCCAAGGTGCCAGGAGGAGCCTCACTCTCCTCCCACAGCACACCTCAGGGTGATGAAGCAGGAAGGCCACAGCCCAGGAGAGCGTGGTGGCCGTGGTCTCAGTGCCGCCGATGAAAAGGTCCACCACTGACATGTGCACGTGCTCTTCCCAGAGCGGTCCTGCGTCTTTCCGCTCTCTTTGCTGCTCCAGCCCGTGAAGCATGTAGTCAATCATGTCCTTCCACTGGCCGGCTACCAGGCTGTCCTGCAGAGGGCAGGGGGAGCAGGCTGAGCGCCCGGCAGCGGTGAGGGGGCAGCTGGGGGAGCTGGTCCCCCCCGGCACTGCTCACCTTGTGCCTCCTCAGCTGCTGCTTTACGATGTGGTCCCTCGTATCCTGGAGCCGATTCAGCTTCCAGAGGCCAGGATTGGGGAGGAACTGGGACAGGAAAGGGAGTCAGCTTCGAGATGGAGGCCAGCCGCCCCCCAACCCCACCCCAACCCAGGGGGCTCTGGGCTGTGCTCGCACCCTGAGAAAGGGAATTACATCCAAGATTTGGATGGACCAGTGGTTCCAGGCTTGCAGCAAGTCGTGGACACAGCTGTGAATGGTGTGTACCAGAGTGTCATCCTGCCAGGAGGGGAGGACACGCTTTGAGTTCAAGACCAGCGAAGGGTCAGGAGGGGCTGAGGGATGGGCCTGAGGGGCAAGAGGGCAGCCTTGACCTTGTCTCCGAAAGTGAGGCTGCAGATGACACTGCACGTGAGTAAAGAGAATTCCTCGTGGATGGCCACGGGGGTGCCAGCCTGGGCTCTCATGCGCTGCAGAGGAGAGACAGGCTACATGGGCTGTGGGGACAGAGGGAAGCCGACCCCAGGAGGACCAGACCTCAGGAGCTCAACCTCACCTCACAGAATTCCTGGGCCAGCTGCTCTACCAGGGGCTCCATGGAGTCTCGCATGCCCAGCATCAGAGCTGAGCGAGAGAGTTTCTTATGGGCCTTCCATGTTAGAGAGTAGTCGCCTAGTGACAGGTCCAAGTCTAGCTTTTCTGCAGGAGGGATGGTGGAAAGACAGACAACTAACCAAGGAAGCCGAAGGCCTGACCTGCCTCTCCCAGTCCAAGAAGTAGCCCGGGGCAGTGGCCACACCAGGTATATCTCTGTGAGTTTGAGGCTAGCCTAGTCTACATAGTGATTTTCAGGCCAGCCAGGGCTACATCATGAGACCCTATCTTAAGAAGAAAAAGAAAAAAAGTGCCCCCAACCCTTACCATATATTATCTGAGGTCTGCCGGCAAAGTCCATCCATTTTTGGATCAGGGCCTCCTCAATGGTCCTATTAGAATTCAGCACCACCACATCTAGGGGGAAAGAGCAGGCGTCAGCAGGGAGGGATAGGTCACAGGAAGAGAGAAGACTGGCTTACCTTTCAGCCCCATGCGGATCCTGTAGACAGGTCCGAGTTTCTGAGTGAGGCCAAGCAGGTAGATAGGGAGGTTCGGCTGTAGAAAGTGCAGGAATCCCGGGGCCAGAGGTGGGAGGTGGAGGTTCCAGAGCTTCCGGTGACCCCACAGCCAGCGGGTGCCAGCCAGCAGCAGCAGCAGCAGCAGCAGCAGCAGCCACAGCCCAGGCAGCGCCATGGTGGGACGCTTGTGCAGGGGCCCTGAAGGCTTTTTATAGCTCTTGCCCCCAGCCATCCATTGCGTTATGACTCTGACCTTTCTTAGCCTCAGGTCCCTTTCCACTGTCCGTCCGTCCCCCACACACACAGCAGTGTGTGTTCAAATTGGCACCGTCCCGTCGGCCTTGGAGATCCGTGGATCAAAGATGGGACCATCCATCAAGAGGAGTGGAAGAGACCCTGACCTTTCTGCAACTCCATCAGCTTCCTAGCGTCACCCATGTCAGCCCAGTGGCCCGAGGGGTCCACACTGAGCCCCAGCCCCTCCCAGCATGCCTCACCTTGGACCAGCTGAGTGGAGTGAATGTGTCCCAGAGAAAAGACATAAATGGTAGTCTTTGCCCAATATGCCTTTCAGGTTTGCCTATAGTCCCTACAAGTGTTTCATTATTATTTATTATTATGACTACTACTTTATTGTGATACTAAGGGTAAGCCCTCCCTGACTAGCTGCGGTCACACCCCTATGCCCCCATTTTTGTTAAGTTTGAGACAGGGTCTCACTAAGTGGCCCAGGGTACCTTGAATTCACTATGTAGCTCAGGCAGGCCTCAAACTTTGAATCCTCCCTCAGCCCCTCAGACAGCTGGGATGACAGGCATGTCACCGTACCTGGTCCCCCACAATGCTTTGTTGTTGTTGTTCTTGGCTTTGGTTGAGGCTTTTTGTGGGAACAGAGGAGGTGCATGTGTGGAGGCCAAAGGTCAACCTCAGGTGGTCTGTCCGGATGAAAAGACCCCCGAGGTTTTGTTTCCCGGGAGCTCCCTGAATCCACCAGGCAGGCTGGCCACTGAGCCCCGGGACGCTCCTGTCTCTGCACACACACACCCCATTTCTGGAATGACAAACGTGTGTCATGGGGCTGGAGAGGTAGCTCAGTGGTTAAGAGTGCTGACTGCCATTGCTGAGGACCTGGGTTCAGGTCCCGGCATCTACATGGCTGCCCGTAGATCTATAACTCTGGTTCAGGAGTTCCAGTGCCCTCTTCTGGCTCCAGAGGGAACTGCATGCACATACATGCACAAAACACAGGGTTTTTTTTTCATTTCTTTATTATATTTTATATTATGTGTATGTATAAAACTAAACAAACCAAAAAAAAAAAAAAAAAACCTATGCACCACCACAACCAGACTTTTTTTTGAAACAGGTTTCACTATGTAGCCCTGGCTGGTCTTGAAGTCAATATGTAGCCAAGAATGACTTTTTTTTTTTAATTTTTATTTTTTTATTTATTTTTTAAATTAAGCTCATGATATTCATTACTTACACTCATGATATTAATCACATTTGTAGTATTCATAGATTACATTCACAGTATTCATTCAAATATATATATATATTTTAATTTTAAATGTCGAATGTCATTTCTTGAAGGGGGTAGGAGGTCTTAAATACAGGCTTACAGCACAATGGGAGAGCTCTGGAGGGCAGAAGTTCGCTACTGATGTTTTACAATCTTTCATCTAAGCTGTTAACACTATGGGTGAGATAGGACCTCTGTTGGTCTTTTCTGTATCGAACACACAGATTGCAAGCCCAGTGCCACTTTGAGATCTTTGGTAGCAGTTAACTCTGCAGCTCACACACAATTGAGTCTGTATGATAATGAGTATTCAGAGATGGGTAATGCCTGGGGGGGCACTCACCAACCTAAGACAGAGAACCTGTGTGGCCTGGACAGGCGTCTCCATGACGGGTAAGGTGACCTGCTGACATCCCCACGCAATCTAAGTCAGAAGCTCATTTTTTAATAAAAGTGGGACCTGTAGGGCCCTGGCCCCCGTTTTGGGTAACTGTTGCCTTGCTTGCTGACCTTGACCTTGATATCCTCCCTATGCTAATTCCCTGCCAGGTTCCACCCTCCTGAATGTTTGTCTGTGTATCCTGAATAATAGGCGTTAACAGCTTAGATGCAAGAATGACTTTAAAGTGATCCCTCACCAGGCGGTGGTGGCGCACACCTTTAATCCCAGCACTGGGGAGGCAGAGGCAGGTGGGTCTCTGTGAGTTTGAGGCCAGCCTGGTCTACAAAGGGAGTTCCAGGACAGCCAGGGCTACACAGAGAAACCCTGTCTCAAAAAAAAAAAAAAAATGACCCCTCTGCTTCCACATCCAAATGCTGGGATTACAGGCATGTACCACAACGCCTGGCCCAGTGACATTAATCATATGGCCTAATGAGGTGCCACATGTGGCTGTCAGAAACGTCTAAAGAGAGGCATGGCACTGCCCGGGACCTCAGCACTTAGGGGGGGACAGAAGGATTGAGTCTGAGATCAGCCTGGGCTACGTAGCAAGACCTCGTCTCAGAAGAAACAAGGCCAAGGCTCCGTTGGTGTTCGCCACACACGGAGAGGTCCTGGGTTCTTTCCTCAGCACCACACAGAAAAGCATCAGGAGACAAGAAGCCAGAGCCCACCCACTTCGGAACAGTGT